ACGGTTGTAACAGCTTTCCTGCTCTGTGTGAAAAGGTGCAGGCCTGACCTCCTTGGTACTAACTGCCTGTGTCTGTGAGTGCTGAGAATGTAATTGGTGTTGAGCAGAAGTTTAATCAGCCAGCAGGGCGGGAAGTGCTGATCCTGCCAAGACTCTGAGACCTGTTAAGCTAATCATCCAAACTTTCGAATTATCTCCCATGGCATTTGCCTAGTGTAACAGAACCATTTGATCATCTGACACTGTGCTTTTGAGGCTCACACAATATTAAGTGAATCCTAACATTAAGAGGATTGCCATTCATATGGCATGAATTTTTGAGCATTTTGGTTGAGACTAGTTGAGCTAGTGTGTGTGGTTTGTCTACTGTTCATCCACCTGTGGCTGACTCTTCTTCCTGAACTATACCTGACAGAGCAGCCACCTAGAAAATACACTCACTCACTTTCACTCTTTCTATATATTAGGCTTATAAAAGCCTTACAAGATTACATTTGGCCATCTGATTGCAAGTTTAAGTATCATTGACGTTGTTATAAGATTATATACAATATAGTGCTAACTTATCCCTCATGCTCTTTTTTTTATTTTTTATTTATTTGATTTAATTTCAGTTAGTCTCAGTTTAATTCTCTCTCTCAGGACGGTAAATTGAAGATATGTTTTTGAATAAGAGAATCATGTAATCAAATTACTGTCAATATGTCTTCCAGTAGAATTGTTACAGTGAATGAATATGGATAAAGCATCAATAATATTTTATTGATGAAAAATATGTAAAAATCAAATTGGCTTAGTTTTTCACGTCACAAAACTGTGAACACTGGACTGTTAATATATAAATTATTATTAGCAGTAGTACGGTGTTAAGGGATTGTTTACCAAAAAAATTACAATTCTGTCAAAATATTTTCTTTTGTGTTCCACAAGACAAAAACTCATACAGGTTTCAAATGACATGAGGGTGACCAATTTTTCATGCTTTGGATGAACTCTTCTTTTAACAAACAAAGTGTAGCAGTGAACTTTTAAACTGAGTGTTTTTAAATACCTCTTTTTTTAAATCTGTGAATATGTAAATGACTGGAAAATGTAAATGAATGTATCCCCCAGTGTCTATAGCCTCTGTCCACCTTGTAAAATTCTCCTTAAGCACTCAGCACCCCCATAAGTTCAATTTTTCAAGGCAATTTGTTGTTCGTCTATGAGGAAAACGATGGTCGTGAAAAAGGTTTAGCTCATAACTGCACTGTGACAGATGATAAATACTTAATCCCTCACCCTCGCCTTAGTGCCTTTTTTTTATTTCTAAAATTGTCATTTAAGTGTAGCTAATTCTTGTAAACTCAGTCTGTTCCTCATCTGTTCCACTCCACTCCTCCAGATTGTCTCTAAAATGAAACCGTGTAACAGTAAAATTATTAATTATGTCCTTTGTTTTTTGTAGATGACTGTGTCACAAGGATGTGTTTGTGTTGTTCATCCTAATAATGTTTTTGGGCTGATGATTTGCCCTGTTGTTGACCTGCGCTTTGGAGAGTAAAAAAACTGATGATTCAGTTTCAGTCAACACGCTCGTCTCAGTTCTGTCCATCATTCTGTTCTCCCTAATTTCCTCTTTAAGATCTCCGTCTCTGTCGATATGGCCAAAACTTACAGTACTGTTCAGAAGTTCGGGGCCAGTAAGAATTATTTTTTTTTTACTTGCAAGCATGCAATAAATTGTTCAAAAGTGACAGTAAAGGCATAATATTACAAAACTTTTATGAGAGAAAAAAATAATTTATTTATTTTAACAAAAAATGTAGTTTTCATAATATAACATGTGCAGTGTTAACAGTAGAATAACACCAAGACCAGATGTGTTGAATTTCAGGTTAGGGTTAGTGTAAAGTCCGCAGCATTCCGGTTCCCAAAGGGTCTTTTATACTGAGAGAAGCTCATTAGTCCATGGCTGTTAGAGCAGCTCCTGAAAGCCTGTCTGAATGCCAGCTCGCTGCACCTGGGTGTCTGTGGGCTGTAATGGGCAGACAGCAGAGTGCAGGGGGAAGCTGTGTAATAGATATTTATGTCTGCATTACGTCTCCTTGAGTCCAGGTCATAACAGGCAAATCTAATCTGTTAGCCAGGCCCAGGATCGACCCTCTACTGGCAAATGGACCTCTAAGTGTACGGTTCGGCCAAAGCCTTCCCTCTTCCCTTCTATAATTATGGTGACAGGGCTGAGCACTGAAGAGGACAGCCTGACATTTCCTTGTTTACCTCAGAGAAGAGTTATGTTGCAGACAGAGACCTGTATTAAATTCAGTGGTGAGTGTGTTGTCTGATTTGCTAAGTGCCCGGAGTGCAGTATAGTTTATATAACCATTGAAGAACTCTTCGTGGAACAAGTTATCGCAGATAGAGGAGATTCCTCAGGCAAAACAAAACTTAACTGTTATTGTCTAAATTAGATGCAGAAGAGGATTTGTAGATATATCAAATAGTGGAGATTTTCCTTATTTTGTCTGTTACTTTCGTCTGCTCTCGTTTAACCTGGTGTTACCAGTCTTAGTAGGGCCCATGTTATTAATTTTTCTGTGTTCTGCTTGAGTGTTCAGGCCTTGGGTTGCACTCAGAGATGCCCTGTAAACCGCAACAAAACACAGTAAGAGCCACTTTAGTCAAATGCTGTTAGATTTTCCTTGTTCTTGTAATGTGCTGTTTCTGTTGTGGTCAGATGTACACTACCATTTAATAGTGTGTGGTTGGTAAGAGTTATTAATAGTTTGAAAGAAATCTTCAATGCTCATAGGCTGCATTTTATTTGATAAAAAAAATAGAGTAAAACAGTAATATTGTAAAATATTATTATAACTTAAAATACTTGTTTTCTATTTCAATAAATTAAAAAAATAATTTTATTCCTGTGATGGTAAAGCTACATTTTTAACAGTCATTACTTCAGTCTTCAGTGTCACATGATCCTTCAGAAATCATTCTAATATGCTGATTTGCTGCTCAAGAAACATTTCTGATTATTATCAATATTGAAAACAGTTATAATTAGGGGTGTTCCGATCAGGATTTTTGAGGCCGATCACTGATAATGATCTTTTTAAAGCCTTCTTTTTTATCATTTATAACTATTTATATTATAACCTGATTGATACTCCAATCAGGATTTTTAGACATGTATTCAGGGCCTGAATTTCATTTTTGAAAATGGGGGGAATTCCCTTCTTAGGTGACTCTTGTGAGAGGAGAAGCAGCTTTCACACAGGAGTCCACTACTGATCCGTGGCTGTTTACCACAAACACAACATTTATCCATTATTTTGATTTCAAATCCAAACATTGTCACTGAAAATGCTTTTTCAGCATTGCAATTCTTTTTTTACACAGTACAGTAATACAGTCTTTCACAGACATGTTTAAACACAATAAATATAAGCAACACATTATTCAATGCTTTTTACTTTTGCATTTACTTTAGATTTATATATTTATATATTATATACTTTTCTTACGTTATCACAAACTTACCATTGACATAAACTGTCAGCCTTTCCTTTTGCACTGAAATCTTTATTACAAGCAATCCTGCAGTTCATAAAGAACTTTGTTTTCCTACCTCCATAAGTGCCATCTATTATTGCCTTCTTTATCTAAAAGTGCTCTTTTCCTTTAAACCTAGCCAAAAAGCCATACGTGTTGACTGTGAAACACAGTAGACTTTAATAATATGCATTTATGGTGTAATTACTACATTTTCGCTTTATTAATCTGTTAACATGAGCGCGGAAAAAATACGCACCACATTCACACTGCAAACGGAGTAATGTGAACCTGGCATTATGTGTGTGCGCTGCGAGTGTGCATGAGCACACTGTCTCCAGGAGAGTGCACGAGCGCTGAATGGTTAAACACTGGCAAGAATTAAAAAGTAATGCAATTTATAAACTTTATGATGACGATTTCGTGACATCGTTTCACTGCCTCGATTGTGCAAGTGACAATTCCTGTGTCAACAGCGTGCAGCTCTCTTATGAGACAGACGCGATGTGTGGTGATTTGAATAAATTTGTGTATATTGAGAGAGAGCGCACGCGGTGATTCACTCAGGCTGTTTGTGAAATTACGCCTCACAAGGTTTTCAAATTACTTTATAAGTTATTTAATTAAGAAATATGAAGGGGAGTACCTCACCTTCAGCATTATAATTATTTCACTCAGGCCGGACAGAGACTGAGACGGTGCCGCTGCATGTCGTGCCAAACCTCTCACGGCAGGCGCATCATCAGCTTGAGATCGTTTTTTTGAGATCGGCCTTTTTAGAGACCGCCGATCAAACATCCCAAAGCGATTATCGGCCGATAGTGATCAGTAGCCGATCAATCGGAGCACCCCTATTTATAATATTAATATTATTAATATTTTTGTAGGAAACTGTGATCCATTTTTAGGATTATTTGAAGAATAGAAAGTTCAAAAGGACAGGATTTATTTGACAAATCTTTTGTAACCTTTACTTTGTGATCAATTTAATGCATCCTTACTGAAAAAAAATGGCTGACCCCAAACCTTTGAATGGTACTGTATGGAATGTGCATTATCAGCCTGTTTACGTAGAAATATTGACTGGTTGATGAATTGTTTAATTGCTGTATCTGTAACATGTGACTTTTTTTTTTTTTAAGGTGCTGT